CCCAACCTCCAACCCCCATTTGAGTTTTAGTTTTAGTAAGTGTTTTACGGCACTTGCAACACAATAAGGTCATATAAGCACAGAAGATTAGACGTGTTACAAGAGAGTAAAAAACACCAAAAAGAAGGAAGGAGATAAAGACGATAGATGTTAATTGATAGGAAAGAAGGAGAAAACCACACCAGAGCCAAATTTGTATTACTGATTTGTGCATCACGGTAGGACTTCGGTGCATTTCCTCCTATCGAGGTGCTCAAATCAGAAATACAAATTTGGCATTAATTTGCATATTTGAAAGAACGCGTCACACGAAGCTATGTTTGCTTGTTTTTGTGGGTTTTTTAACGAGCGACCACTATGAGACAGAGTAGAATAGAGGGCTAGGGTTAGGATTAGGGGTTTGGGGTTAGGGTTAGGGGTTAGGGGTAGGGTTAGGGGTTAGGGTTTGAGTTAGGGGTTAGGGTTAGGGTTAGGGGTTAGGGGTTAGGGGTAGGGTTAGGGGTTAGGGTTAGAGTTAGGGGTTAGGGTTAGGGTTAGGGTTAGGGGTTAGGGGTTAGGGGTAGGGTTAGGGGTAGGGTTAGGGGTTAGGGACTAGCCTTTTGGGTTAACTCTTTAGGAAGGTATAGGACACATTGTCTGACCAGAAACTGATCAAGGGCAATGTTGAAGCTCATTTTAAACCAACATCATCATCATTGCCTTTCTCACCCTGCACCAGCATAATATAGGCCACGGACAAACACCTTCCACCTTTCTCTACCCTGGGCTAGTGAACCAAAACACACAAACCAAAAACACGAGATTGCACAAATGTCATTTCATAGTAGTATAATGTTTTTTCAAGACTGTTTAACGCTCTTTAAAATATATATATATATATATTGAGAAAAGCTGTATGGATAACGACAATGGGCTTCTTCAATCCTTGGAAAGACCAGAATTTTCGTCTTCTATGAGTTTTTAAAAACATGATCGTTTCAGTTGGGGTTTTACAGCTTTTGCAAATCAGTTAGGTTATATTATAAGTGCCGAAGATTAGATGTGTTACAAGAGAGTAACAAACACAAGATAGAAGGAGGGGAGATAAGGATGACGACATATGATTGAAAGGAGAGATCAGGGCGATATGGTCGCTTTTAAGGACAAGTGGGCTAACATAGAATTCGGGGTTTCCAGAAATCCTGACCCACACCAAAAGTGAGCATTGCTCTACCTATAGGAGAAGTTTGTTTTCGTTGATGTGTATATTTGTTTGGTTATAGAGAAAACTCTCCTTGTTCTTTAAAGAAACTGAACAAGGGTCCAAAAACTTTACCTTCGATTTTTTCTAAGCAACATTTTTCGTGATAGCTCACTTTTGTACTTAAAAGCGACCATAATGTTTGAAAGAAAAGAAGGGGCAAACCATACCAGAACACCCGCCAGTCACTCACAGAATTGCTTTTTAACCCTTGTTCAGTTTCTTTAAAAGACAAGGAGAGTTTTTTTCTATAACCAAACAAATACACACACCAATGAAACCAAACTTCTCCTATACATATTATGTAGGTAGGGCAATGATCACTTTTGGTGTAGGTCTAGATTTCTGGAAAACCCCGAAATCTGAGTTGGCCCACTTGTCCTTAAAAGCGACCAAAGAAGTAAACACTTCCGGGAGCAGAGTGCAGATGGCGGACACAGAGTTCTTTCCTTCGGGGTGCCCACTACGAAGGGATCGGCCCTAGGATCCGCCGATTGCCCGACTCGGTCGCCTCAAAAACAAACGTCTTTGTTTTCAGTTTCAGGCGATCGAGTCGGGCGATCGGCCCGATCCAGCTGTAGTGGGCACCCCGCATTTGGACAACTTCAGTATTTTTATTATGTCACAATATGTGGGCCTGGTTTTTCGCCTTTTGTTTGGGGTTTTTTGGTGGGTTTTGTTTTGGTTTTGGTTTTTGGGTTGTTTTTTGTGTGGGTTTTTTTTTGGAAAGCAGAAGGAGAAACTCGAACACGAGTAAATTATGAAAAACAATCTTTTCCCGCTGTCTCTGTCTCTGTCTCTGTCTCTGTCTGTCTCTCTCTCTCTCTCTCTCTCTCTCTCTCTCTC